ACCTCTTAACCACCAGTTAAATGCCCAACTGGGCAGATTGCAGGGAAATAAGGAGATAAAAAAAATTGTAGTTTTTTTTATGATATGTAGAACTAATAAATTTTAACACCAACATAATATATAAATAGACCATTTAAGAGAGACTGTTATTTTTTAAAACAAGACATTCAAGTAACTCAATTAAATTAAAACCACATAAACAAACAAATTTTCGTTTGAAACAAAAATGATGGAGTGACAATAAAAAATATTGAAAATATTTTGAAGCCCTTGATTAACTGATTGTTTTGACAAACCTCCCAGTCCTCAGCTAAAATGATTTCATCAAACCAAAACGAAAACTGGCCCATATTAATTCGCACGGCAAACCTCAATAAAACACAGCGTAATTTTATAATTGACCACAGCGTTGATTTTAACGATTACTCACAGTTTACACTGGATGAAAAATTTTAAAAATAAATATTGGACGTACAAAAGCAAACACTGTTCCTGCGCCACCGTCGAAATAAATTACATAAATTGCATAAAATCGTTTCGTGTGTTTGGCACAAACTGTATGAATAATAAATAACGATAAATATATCGATTTTTTTTTTTCGATAATATTACCAACTTTATCGACAATGGTGATGTATGACGTTTACGATAACGATGCATAATGTCTTTTTTTGCGATAGAATTATGACATTTAACGACATTTCTGTTACATGTTGATTTTATAGCAACGATGTATTATCAATGAAGTAATAATAATATATAATATGTAAACTGTTTTGAATGATAAATGGTTATTTAATGCAATGGATATCAACCAATGATATAAATCCAATGAATTTATGTAAATCACCGTGTCATCGATCATTCAGATAAACTAGACTCAATTTCAGTTGCCTTTTGCGTTATATTATTTTGATTCAATAAGTTATTGATGACAAATTAACCCGGCGAGGATGTGGTGAAAATAGTAACGTGGAGGTTGTGGAGGGTCTTATTGACCCTGTATATAATTGGCTCTAAAAACCTAAATTTATATTAATGTACCAAATGTTAATCAATATTATTTATATCACGTGTTATTTTTACGGTTTTATCGAAATAAAACGCAGATAAGAGTACAAAATAATATAATTAAATCACTTTTAACAAAGTACTACAAAATAATCAACTTTTACATAAACTTTCTAAACTTACACTAAAAACAACAAAAAGTAACTCCCTTCTTAGACGATTAACTTTTAATTTGGTACATACGTAGAGGTCAATTAGATGCACTTACAGTCTTATCATCAAATTATGAATTACAAATCATTATTGTCTGTGATTGCAGCACAATCCTGGCAGAATGAAATAGTGTGTTCTGGGCAAATATACTTATGGCAATCTTTTCAAATATTAGCTGTCTAGCGATGGCGGGCATAAGGACATACTTGGTACTTTTTTCCTACACCTGGAACTCTATCAGGAGCTTCTTGTTCAGGTTCTCCGTTGAATTCTCTGATTTTCTTGCGTAGCTGTCTCGGCAATTGAGGTGTTTCTTTGCGGCCTTGCAAATGTTCAGTAACCTGACCATCCGATTCCTGTCCTTCTGACATTTGTGGGTTCTGATGTTGCAATTCAGATAGTGGTACGTTATCCTCGCCATCACTGCTTGCATTTTGCTCAGTATCACTATTTTGACTGCGCGTACTCAAATGAACTTCATTTTCGCTACCGTCGGATAACAAGTCATAATCACTGTCAAACTGCATTAAAACAAGACGTATGCGTTCATCCTCAAGCTCCTGGCTATTCATTGTGTACGAAAAAACATAAAATTATAATAATATTAAGTAAAAAATATAATTGAAACCTTACATAAAAATGTTACATCGCGGTTGTTGCGGGGTCATATTTACCCTATTTAACTGCACGCAAGTTTTATTCCCGTCGCAGGCGGCGGCCAACTGAACAGGGGTGCGGGGCGGGCGCGCTGGTTCCTTAGCAATAGCTATTGTGACGTTCAAAACTCTTCGATGGCAGAATAAAAAACTACACAAGATTAAAAATTGACAGGGTCAAAATGACCCCTCCACATCCTCGAAGGGTTAATAATGACAAGTTAAATGTATGATGGAGTAATTGAATAACCTGACTAGCTTTTTTATAATCTTGTAACATCATGTAATGTCACGCACGCCTTTTATTCCCGTGGGTATAGGCAAAGTGCACACGTGGACATTACGGCACTTAATGCCACTGTACAATGTAACACCCACTTTTAACTATTTTTGTTATGAGTCCCGGTTCCAGACTCCGTGTTACTACTGAGATTAAAAAAAAACCCAGTAATAAATTTAAATCTTGATTTAGTAAACATCCAAATGCCAGGCACAAATATTTAATCTCCTGAACTTTATTCAGCTTACTTTTCACAACAAAACTAAAATATTTCACTAGAACACATTAACACTAAAAGACTTATATTAAATAACCTAAACACCTAATTCCCTACGCAACTGACGGTCACCTAACGCACAAAAGCAGTACTTTTCAATTAATGAATAAGACAGGCTATAAGTAATAATTACATGTTCGCCTATACATCACGATTTATCAGGACAGCGGTGTAAGTGAAGGAAATACGCGAGTTTGGGCCAAAGTTCCTCCTCCTTGGAGGGCAAAAACTCACGTTAACGACACCCACATATCACGGAACATCACCTATACCGGCTATACGCGTAAATAACGAAACAAGCAGTTCTTTTTTCTTGCAAACAGATAATTTTCACTTTGGGTTCTGAAATTTTATGGCGGTTCCACGCAAAAATGTTGGATATTTTTTATCAGTGGAAGTTAGTAATGATGGAAGTTGACTTGGGAGCAGCTTCTGTTTAGTGATGACTCACAGTACTTGGGTATATACATATTAGATTTTATACGTCACAATAATTTAACTTTTCATGTTTCAGTACATTGCATGAGTGCTAACAAATCGCCTAAAACTTTAATATGCTCTGATTAATCACGTTTAATTCACTTAAAACCAGACACCAATAAACACGTCTCGTCTACGGTTTCACATCTCCAGATCCTTCAAACTTCAGCAGTACCTGACGTTACCCGAGGCTGTATATCTGATTGCTGCTATTCAGGTAATTGACGTAAGCTGACGTCGTGCCAACATTGGATAGTAATTAGTTACCAATTGAATACATCGACACGCCCATTGGGCTGTGTGATATGAATGATTATGTGATCACTTGATTTGACTGGAGTAAACACTGCATTATCCGTTCATTTGGTCAATAGAGGACCAGTGTGGGAGTTCGGTAGATGGTTGGTTAATTCAGTGATAGTACGATTATATGGTTCGAAATCTAATACTATTAATACTAAATTCTAATTATTTTACGCATTCTTTTGTCTTAAATTATGACTGAGATTGTATAGTGTCCCAGTATTTACTTTGCTCTTCATGTAAATAGTAGTAGAAGAATATATTGTATGTAACATCCACTATTTACCACAGTCATACGCTATCAATTCCACGAATATGGTGGAAGCTACAAATTCCAACCTCCTTCGTACATAAACAAAAAAAGCAGAAGCCCTCCAATTGCGGTTAGGTTATCGACAAACACAGATGACTTACAGAATATTATTTTTCCATTTCGTCACGATAAGGGCAGCATAACATCGCTCTCGTCACTGCGCCCCGTCAGGGTTGAATTTTGAGGTAGGGATCTGTTAGCGCCGTAGTAATGGTGTTTTTATGATTTTTTCCACCATCAACAGTGGCTGTAATGTGATTCAAGCTCTATTGTTCTCCCCGCGTGATTTATTTACAAAAGAGATGTATGAGGTGTTTAGAGAACCGTCAAAGTGGATTTCAACGCGTGCTCCTGTGAAATGATGGCGTTTTATTACCAGGAATGTTGGCGAAATGGCTGTAGTAAGCTTGGTTTTAACTCGAATTGTTTTTGGCTTCTTTTTTGTTTTTGTAATTGGTATTGTTGTTTTGGTGAGTCTTTATTTTTATTATAGTAGGTTAGCCTACTTAAAATAGAGTAAGACAAGAGAAATAAAAATATTGTAGCCTTAAAAATTCATATCTCCGATGCCCAATCAATCAAAAACTCTTTACAGCACCACGTCCAACACTCCCAGCATGTACTAAAAACGAGCCTAACGATACTTTTTAAGTTATACACACATACGCGGTTTTAACGTAGACAGGGACTTGTGAAAACTCATCCCACCATTTGTACACCAACTGGCTTCGGTAAATGTTTGCTTGGCTCGATATTGCACGCCACATGACGCTTTTTGCTCCCACTCTCGCCACCGACGGCTGTTTGAAATCATGTCCTGTTTACAAAGATAACTTTCCTCTCGAATTGTACGGTTACATTAGCCGTTCGACTGTTTTGTGCCCCGAGGCTCGGGAACTAATTAGGGAGTGATATGTAATGAACTTTGTTTTGGTTTTGATGCCTATTGTGTAAGTGGAAGTTTGTAGTGGTTATTGGATATATTAGAAAGTACTCGATGGCTAATGGTTTGTTTCTGAAATAAAAAACCTCGACCTAGGAATGTTTTTCATGAAAATGAAGCTGATCATTAACTGCATACATACATATATTTATCCAAGATTTAATCCATATTAATATTCATGTTTCACTTTGTTTGTATGCTCAAAAAATATTCTCATCTAATAGGACTATCATCCTGTGCTCACGAGATGCCGCATATATAAGACAAAGTTCTGTTTGGAATTGTAATTGATTACTTTCTCTTTTCTCTGAACTTATTTTCAACTTTCTCTTCACATTATTTATGAAAAAAACTAAAATAAATGTCAAAACTGTCTCAAAACTGTCAATGTAATACGCAAGCGATAGTAGCAGGATAAAATTTGTTAATTCTAATTATTATAAGGTCACAATTTTCGCGTAAGCTTACTGAATAATATTAAGACTTTACCGATAGGAAATCATTGGAATCTTTGCGAAAGCGCAATGGCCTTCAAATCTTATAGTACTGATAGCAAGTTCAAACATTCTGGACTATCTGTACAAATTGAAGAAGAACACGTGTCTATTGTAGACCTATTGGATGTTACTGACGTAGAAAGTTCATCGTCCGATTCTGAATTGGAATTGTGGGATTTACAATTTCAACCAGAAGAAAATGAGAAGAAAAAGCTGTTTAGTCAAGGACTGTATAAACCGGGCAGTGGGGAGGTTTGCGCCAAGTATATCACCGTATCTGCCAGTTCTGTGTTAAACCACGTTTACTATGAGTACCCTTCGGTCAAAGATCCGGCAATTAAGGATGCTTTGTTATTACCAGGTAAGATTCGTTGAAGTATTATGGACTCTAGTAAGGTTCGTTGAAGTATTGTGCTTTGGTAATACATGAATGTAGCTACGGACGAATTCAGTCAATCATTTTGTTGAGATGTTGTCCCAGTCCCATTGTCATTCCAAAATAGGTCTTTCACTTTTTTATATTTATAGAGCATTTTATCGTACATGCACAAATGAGTCATCCATCATCAATATGCATACCTACTCTTCCTAGGTATTTCCAAAAATATTATTTACAACTGTATGCTCAGTATTATTACGAATTTAAATAGGTTTATTTGTTTATTACCTTTCACTTATTATAATGTCTTCAGAAAAAGTAATAAGATACGAAGATGACGGTCAGGAGTTGTATTTGCAATTATGTAAAGAAACTAACCAAACACCAATAAAGATATTCCACAGAGGATTGCTTACAGATACAATTGATTTAAGGGTACGTAGAACATGATTTTTGAAAATATTGCTTCTAAGATAGCACCTTAAAACGTAAGCAGAGATGCACATATAACTTGCCTTCAACCACTCTTCAACCGTGGGAATGCCATGTTTCGACATGAATCAGCTGGTCCACCTGGCCACGTACAGTAGGGGACAGTACCGCCCGATCATTTTAAAATTTTATTGCTTCAACCTGGCAAAAACATCAAGTCATACCCCATAAATGTCTCAACTAATAGACAAGCAATAACGTCGCAGTTTAATGACGTAACTCGTATAATCCTTTAGTCAGTGGTGCGGGGCTGGAGAGCTGATCTCATCGGGTGCAGTAGTGGTCAAACGAATGTGCCCCCCATAGTACAAAAAACCATCACGGAACAATGTTTGCATTATGTTTCGCCATGCCGGTGATTAATATGCCGCCATGCTGCCATAAGCCCAATCTTCTTCTTCCCTCATAAGTCAACAACGCATTTATAACTCCTCCGATGTAACGATAACGCTAATTACGTACCATTAAGTGATACGTCTGCTCTTCTATCTTCCAGTACTATGGAATACATCCAGGTGGTATGAGAGCGATGTCCCTAGCCTTGTCCTGCAACACCAATGTAAAAACTCTAGATTTGACCAGCAACTTCTTGAATAATGTCGACGCTTGCTACCACCTCGGTCAACTGTTTGGTTTCAAAAATGCTATTAATCGACTTATATTGAAGCAGTGCAAGTAAATAATTTTAATTTGTCACTTTTATTTTAATTATCAACTGCAATCCTCATCAACAGCTTATGATGGTCCATAAACACACTACGGACCTCCTTCAAATGAAAATACTTAATCTCTGCACTTGCCAGGAGGACTGAAGGATGCAGTTTAAAGTTTCAGGTTATTGAAAAAATCGATATCAATTGTTAAAAATCTAATACATAATTCCTCCTTGCTCGGTATATACTTGTGAGCACTTGCTAGAAGAAATAGGAAGTCGTATAACGAGTAATATTAATGTTATTTTACAGCATCAGACGACAAGGGATACGTCCACTAGTCGTTTATTTCTTCACACGTAACTTCGATTTATTAGATTTGTCTGACAACAATTTGTACGATGAAGGTCTCGCATATCTTATTGAGCAACTAGACACTGGAGCTGTCATTCGTAGGTATGTTGTATCTAGCCGATTATGCATAATGACTCTTTTTGAACCTGAGTGCTAGTTACCCAGGTCCTCATCTGAGAAGTCAAAGGAAAAAAGTAGCCAATATCTATTTATATCGCTTCATCTCCCTAATCATATCTAGATACAAAAATGGTACCTATCTTCCATATAATAATTTTGTAGTAGTGACGTGTACGAAACACTGTTTTGCATTAAAATATTAGTGCGTATGGTTTCAACCTTAACTAGAAAGGTTAAATTCTAGAACATACGCATTGACGACTTTAATTCATGCCTAACATAAATATTTTATTCCGGAAACTATTTTCAGATTGATCTTGAGAAGTAATCATTTGACCAGTGTCGGCTTACAGTCTTTAGCTGCATCCATAGAATACCACGACAATATAAAATGCTTGGATCTCTCCTGGAACAATTTTGTGGTTCCTTTCGGTTTGTGATATCTTTTTCATTATAATTGGGCGTGTACCTAAGGAGTATCCAGTGTGTGTACCTAATAATTGGATGTATGTAAACATTGTTTACTGAATAGAAGATAGGTATGAATTTACAATTTGACATACCACAAAATCCGTTAACATATTTCTATTAACATAAAACTAGACACGTCATTCTATCTCACAAACACAGACGCGACGTAACATTGTGAAAACGTCCCTTAATTTCCTTGTGTTTAATGTGATGAAAAGTTAGCAATAAAATTGTTGAGGCGGACTGTACACGACCGTTTAGAGACATTGCGGTGCTCAAACTTTTCGTTGGCTATCAAATCCGCGGGGTCTCTCATAAATATTAAAGGGAACTCAGTAAAACGCTACAGTTTTATTTCCAACGTATATTTGACGCGTATTTTGTTCTCATATCATCTGCATATTCACGATGAAAAACTGTGATGTCAATCAAAACACGGCTTTTTGCGCTTGTTCAAATTGGATGAAATGAAATTTGGTGGTGTAGAGCGTTGGATATTGAAGCTTTATCAGGTTTTGTGGCATGTAATGGGTTTGTTATATTGACGCTGTATGTATAATGGATGCTGCACTATATTAAGAGCTAATATTATTTGTTTGGCGGTGTATGACGTGATTTCGATTAACTGTCATGATGTTCTGTTCCCTTTGGGTAAATAATTACTCTACATTAAACTGCTCAAATTGTTTGTTTTTCGTGTTAAAATGATTGCAGTTAACATAGACTTGGAGGTCGACACATAAAGTAATTAAAACCTTTTTTATAGAATTTCAACTATATCGTCCTGTAATAAAGTCAAAAATGTAGTGAATAAGATTAACTGTTAGGATAGCTTTATACGTATACTCCGTTAATATAACTAATTTTTGTATGTAATATATACAGGCCCTAGAGCACTGTTTCATGCGCTCGCTGAAAGTGAGGTCATAGCTGAACTTGACATGTCCTGGACCAGTCTCAAGCTGTCGACAGAACTCGCTCCCCTGTTTAACATACGCACCTTGAAGAAACTGAATTTAAGTAATAATGCGTAAGTGTTGTTTGATTAATACGTTTAAATTAACTTACAATATGACGAACAATACTGATTACCTACCATCCAAGTTATATATACACTAATATTTGTGTTTTTGTATGTATACATAGGAATTTCAAAAATTATTTCATGATTGGAAAACTGCATTCTTACAAAACAACATAACACTAAAATCTTAAAAAAGTCGCCGGCAAAACGGGCTAGACATTTATGTAGCATATTAGTCTTAATTTCCAATTCTTTATAATACTATTTCATTGTGTTTCTGATGTGTAGAGAATGATACCTATCCGATAGTAAGGAAAGTTGTATTAAGAATGTGAAAATATTTCTGAAACAATCTTATTAAAATATGCCATTTCAATATCATTATTTTGGTGTAAATTTTTGTGAATGAAGTCGTCTTCATTCTCAAAATTGTGTAGATTCAAATTCAAATTTGAATTCTTTATTGCGTTCCACAATGTTTTACTTAGGTACTTAGGTGGTAACATAGAATAATACAGATCATTGTGGACCTTGTCCGGCACAGCAAGGAAATATATAATTTTAATACAAAATAAAATACAAACTAGCATTACTATCAAGAACTGAGTTCCGCTATAAACAACCTAATTCGTAAAATTATCACGCAAACTCAATTCCTAATTCAGAGTTAGACACAGGTTTTATGACAATAACAAAAAAAATTAAACTTCGCAATATTTTGAAGTGAAAACATCCTGGTAGACTAGTTCCTGGAATTCACGGATAAAGTACAGTTCTTTATCATTGTACCCATGATATAAAGTTACACTGGAAGGTACAGACTCAGAGTCACAAGATACATTTCCTTATTAACTGTAAATGAGATACAATTACGTCTATTTTGAGAGAGACACTTGATTACCTGAGAAGTAAATGAGGACGTTGAGAGTGGCAAGTAATGCGCGCAAATTATTGCCACTTCTGGTATTCTGACCTTGATGGATGTTTGTGAATTTTGTTCCTTCTATTGCTATTAAGGCCTAAGTCAGCATTATTATCAATTTGCTCTTTAAGGGATACAGTTTTCCTTACAGTTCCAACCCAATTTCTTCCGGGTTTATTAAGTTTTTAATGAAGTTCCATGCATCCATCTAAAAGATCCATCTACAATAAACCCTATCAATGTCCTAAGGACACATCTTCATTGTCTGTCATATTTTTTTTATGGGATAGGCCAGTAAACGAGCAGACGGATCACTTGATGGTAAGCACTTGGCGCCGCCCATGGACACCCGAAAACCAAAGGTGTTACAAGGTAAGTGTGTTACCGGCCTTTTGGAGATTAGGAATTTGAGGATTGGTTGGATATTCAAGGATTGGAGAGATTACGTAATTGGGCCTCCGGTAACCACATTGACACGACGAAACGCCACGTAAGCGTTGTTTCACGTCGGGTTTCATATTAATAAATTGTAATTGAGTGTAGATGTTTAATGTCCTTAATGTAAAGTTATGTAGATTTGTCTATTTTCAGTCTTCCTTCTGCATCAGCAAGAGTAATAGGCAAAAATCTCCACCTATCACGAGGGTTAGATCTATTGGACCTCTCTTTCAATCCGTTTACTCCATCTGATGCGCTGTTTTTACTCTCAAAAATGAAATTGTCTAAGGTCAGGGTAAAGGAGTTACGTCTTGATAATATTCCAGTTAGCAAGGAATTTCCTGCTGTGAGTATATATTTTTAATCTGTTAAAAAATACACTACTTAATTAGAATGAAACTTAAATAAAAAAATGTTCTAACTGTCTAGTTTCGAACATTTCTTTACACTACTATAAACGTTTGTTTATATCTATCATTGGCATAACATAAACTGATGATTGAATCTTTACCCTTTATTTATTTTGAAATATTATTTAAAAAAAAATTAGAATCTTAACCCAAGATTAAGTTTTATTACCCAAAAACATTAAAACTAAAATATATTTTTTATTGGTTATACCGATGAACGATCAGACGGATCACCTGACTGTAAGCAATCGGAGTCGCCGACCACGCCGAAACACAACGCAAGCGTTGTCTCACGTCAGTTTTCTCTGAGGCCGTGGCCGTGGTATCACTCCGGTTGAGCCGGCCCATTCGTGACAAAACATGGCTCTACTACACTTGAAATTAAATTATGTTTCTGATTAAACTTTTACCACTACATAAATTTATTTTGTTTCAGGAACTAAAAGAAATTCTAAAACTAAAATTCCGAAGAAACACTGTTGTAACATACGGTCATGTTCTGCGCAACTATAATCTTCCTGAGAAGGACATAAAGATTATCGTCATGAAACGACTTGTGCGCACTACACATAGGAAATCAAAGAACGCATTAGATGTATTGTTAGTTGGTTTGGTATTAATATCTATTACAGTACTGCGAGTTTCATACATTACCGCGTTTAATCCTCTGATTGGCTGATTATTTGGAGCTGGCCAATCAGAGTGCCGAACGCTATAAACGTGTCGTTCACGTTAACGTTAGGTCCGTTTGGATTGGTTCTTTATAAATCTTCCTTGTTTTGATACTGTAATCTATGGATTATGGGTACCTAGTTAATTAAAAAAACCTATTTATTTCTAAATCGAATAAATGGGTTATAAGAGAAAAGCCTTTAGTTAACAATGTACTTATGCTGCCTGACTTACTGATGATGATAATGATTTGAAAACAATTGCTTTTTTTCAGAATGTACTTACTTGAATATAATCGTACACAGAAATACCTTGACTTGGCGGAATTTAATCGCTGCATGAGGACGAATGAAACTCCATTGAAAGATGAATTTGTTGAACGAATGTATAGATCCTTCCAAGGGATAAAAAATGATGCGGGAGGTAAATTTGCCAACCTAGATGGTGAGTTTTGTTAAAAATATCCCATACTAATTATATTAAGTACCCTCTAAAACATATTACGCGATGATCTCCGGCCACTGCAAGTGCAGGTCTGCGGAGAATAAGAATCTGAGACACTCCCTCTCGCCTAACTCAAGGTGGGATAAGCCATTGGATGACTTTCTCGCCTTAGAATATAAAAAAAAAACATATATGAGATAGTAGAAATAGGTTGGTCAGACTTTAAAAATACATTTTGCGTTCTTGGATCCAAGAAGAAATCTTTCTTTAAAGACACAATAGGACAGAGTCGTATTTGTCCTACGGAATAAAATTAAAGAAATTGCTGTGGGTGATTGTGATATTAAGATATCGACATCGAGATCCATGGCAAATGTTGTAATTTACCATTCTTTGGGTACACACATAGGCCACATTAATAAAATACCCAAATTAACGGTACATTTAACCATCGGCAATGTAGAAAATATTTATTTTAATGAAATCCTCTCGACGACCGTATGCCCAATGCACGTGATGGTATATTTCTTTTAACAGTAATGGTTGACTATATACATCGGCTTTGGCCGGATAAGAAACTGCCGCCAACACCACCACCAACGCCACCCTCGCCTCCTGCACCTCGACGTACAAAAAAGAAATTACATAAAGGAAAGAAAGTTGTAAAGAAGAAATGAAGAAACTGAAAAGTTTTATGTCTAATTTATTTATTATTTATGTACGCACATACAAAATAAAAGACAACACATATAAATTTAAAGTGCAAAGGTACCACCTATTCCTATTGGAATTTCTTCCTGTGGACCTGTGGCAGGAAAGTAATAATGATATAATGACATGGCCTATGGTTTGACGCTATCAAATTCTGTATTGTGACTTTAGTTCTTAGACGGCAAATTCATAATACTAATCGTCCTGTTGTCCTCACCGCGTTTGTCAGTGGGTCGTAATAAATGAAAGATCTGTCAAACAATTGACTAACGCTGCAGAAGATTTTTTTATTTATTTATTTATCATTTCATGTACACACAGACAATATTACAAAGGACAACACATTAATAAAATAATAATAGAATAACTGTCTATGATTATTTTTTCTTACTTATTATTGGTTACAAAATTTTTCCTTGTTTCTTTAATTTTATTTTATATTGTTTACTCTCCAGCTTTTACCTAAAGCATTCTGAAAAACTCTGTAATTGGCTTAAAGTTTCTATGCCTTGTCATTATAAAACATGTACCCTTTCCTAAATGAGCTGTTGAGTTTTCTGTGTTATAAATAAATAAATAAATGATGTGTATTCTAGGTCCTATTTTTAGAGACTTAAGAATAAGGATTAGGGGAAGAAAATATTTAGTTTTAGCTCTTAATTTGTAGCACTTTTTTACTGTAATGTTTGCACCTTTGTTAGAAATCGTGTAATAAGTCTTATGATTTGTGATTGACGTTCATTACCAACTTCAAAAAAGGAGGAGGGACTATGCTCTGATATTTGCTTGCTTTTAAAGAATTTTTTGTAATTACAATTCTATTAGACACTCAATAGTAGCACGGAGTCTGGAATTGTGCCCGGTATATGGAAATAAGCATACCTCTCATACATATATGGAACTTATATCATAAATAGTGAAAAGTGAGTTTGACATTAAGTGGCGGTAAGTGACGTAATGTGCACCTCTGCCTTATATCCCGTCGGGATAAGAGGCTGTTATGTATGCAATTCTATTTATAATATATTACAATGAAATCCATAATATTATGTTTAATTTTATTGATTTAGCTGAGGCATATTTTTTTAATAATGCCGAATATGCAATCTTTCACACATACAGACGAATCTAAATACTCAAAAGCCATTTTACAGGTGCTAATTGTTATCATTTACGTATTTTGAATGCTGTTATTTAGTAGTTCCAAGAGATGAGGTATTTAAAACAATATGTGTATCTTAAGTTCTACCGTTCGTACTGAAATATTAAATTTGCTTCTCTAAAGTCTGTGCTGTATCAATTGCTACACGATAGTTTTACCATGTGATAAAATTAATTTAGGCAGATTGTAACTTTTGGACGCCACCGTCGACAAACAAAGTATGACGTGATTCGTCACAGTCGGCCACGGCCGACAAGAAAACATAATTTTTATGTACAATTAGTTTGTCGACTAGAGCCAACTGCGGCGACCGAAAGGTTAATCATGATTAGATAGACTACCTAGTTATTTAATAAATTCCAATCTAAATAACATAACATAACATCACGCCTTTTTATACCCGAAGGGGTAGGCAGAGGTGCACATTACGGCACTTAATGCCACTATACAATG